AGATTTCTAATAACATTGCGATCTATACTCTTTTAAGATTAATTTCTAATATTAGATACCTATATATAAACCTCTAGAACGACTGAGGATAAAGTTTATTATCGTCAGATATAAGCTGATATACCTGAGTAAGCTGCTACTATATGGTAAGCTGATCCATATGGTAAGCTGATATTTAGTGGTGAGTTAGGCCATAATAGTACACGGGTTGTAGTGGCTCTACTAGGTAGAGCTTAGCTGAAACTTAATACTACAAACTTTATACACTCTCATGCAGTTGCAGCTTCCGGTTTCTGTAAGCAGGCGACCTCTGATCCCACGCTAAGCCTCTGTCGCTTAGTAGTAATCTTACCCAAATAGTATTAGTTTCTGTCAGCGATGCGTCTTCTTTCGAACTCTCAGACTAATCAACGCATCACATTTACATACTTTAACTATCTTTAGACAAGCGTACACCAGGCGGGTCCGTGTCCTGCATAGGATGACAATTGAGCCGCGTACGCAAAGCGGAAGCTGCAAGTGCATAAGAGTGTATTGGATACATTGGTAAGAAAGGATATTAAGGTACAAGTATTTAGGTTCAAAGTTAAAACGCAATTTCCACAATTATCCCCATCCTAATACATGCTAGTCTATTATAATTCAATAAAGTGTAATGTCTACTTGTAACGACGTTACAGTTGTGCCCAGTACTAGACCCTTACCGGAGTCGGATCGGAACGAGCATCCGCCGCCCTCCTTCAGCAGTCCAGCATTCTTGGTGTCGGGTCCGAGTCGGACCCGACTAAGACATATATATATTGAGACTCTGCCTGTAGCTAGCTCTGTAGACTTTTGATATCCTTTCGTACAAGGCCTATAGGTGTCTATTTGAATCCAGGCTCGTTTGCTGTCCCACGCACTCCCATATGCCTCTGAGTGACACTACTGCCGATACTGATCCGAGTAGTCTTGCCTGCGCCGTTACACTACTAAGTACGCATAAAGTTAGGGACGACGAAATTTGTCCGATTAGCTTAAGAAGATTTCTGATATATTTTCTTCTAGATTTATAGAATCATTATTTTGCTTATATTTCTTTTATATACTATCTAAGCAATCACATTCTATTACATATTCACAAGTGTTGGCACGATAAAGGTGCACGGGGTGAATCAACTTGCAGCTGCAATACTATAGTGAGGAAGCGGATTGATTGTCTAGTAGCTACTACCGTGTTGAGTATCTACAGCTCCTACGTGCACGGGCCAATAGGCGGTGACAACGCCTCTGCCAATGCCCGTGTCGACCAATCAGTGTCGCGGATCAGTAGGACTCAAAGTCGAGTCCTAATTGATTCCAACAACAAGAATATTAATCTCTTTTTCGAATTCGAAATGCGCATATCTGTATTCACGTTTGCATCTATTATGACTACGTGAGCTATGCTACTCTCTACAGATTTATCGTATACTGATTATAATGAGCATGATGCACACAGCTACAGTCAACGCATATACGTGTTCTTACTACTGCGGAAGCCATGCAAAACCTGAAGAATTTCATCCTGGTCTCACTGGATCTTGCTGTGGAGAATATGGTAATTATGACTGTGAAGGTAATGTAAGTTCATTAGTTACCTATTCTTTCTATTACTATAATAACCAAATAATAGTGTAAGCTAGAAAATGGTGGTCCAAGGGATAGGTTTGCAAGTTGTTGCCGGGGAAGCAAGCTCGATATATGTTTTGCAAAGGGTGCGGATGGTCCTTATGCATGTGGCGCAAACAATTACCCCGTTGAATGCAACTAGTTAGAACAATGTCACAAGTTTGCCCTATATCAGACCTATCTTAGAACTGGATCAGAACAAAGTATCGCCTGCCCCCTTTATCTTTCTCAATAGCGCGAAGGAGGTTATAGTCATGGTCTTGTTGAGCCCTACGTGATTCGATCTATGACTTTTTATGATGAAGGCGATATGTGCGTTTAGTCTAGGCTGGCAAATAGGGTATGGGGTACCCTTCGCGGGTTAGGGTAGGGTACGGGTGCTTGGCAGGTGGGTGGAGGTAGGGTTGGGTTACTTAGTATGCGGGTTAGGGTAGGGTTTGTTGGAGATATAAGCTACTCAGCTAATCTCCAGCAGACTCTAGGTGATTAGGACTACACCTAGAATCTGTAATTAATCTACTATTAGAAGCTATGATTAATAGCTGTGATTAATCGATCTCTAGACACCAGACTTGCTAACAATTAAATTAATCAATCTGAAGAGTCAGATTGATCTTGATTGACGGATTAGCGCCACGCTTTTGATTTGATTGATTTAGACGCTGATATTTTGATTTTTGATTGAGGTTTTGATTGAGTTGATTCGTTTTTGATCTATCATTGCCAGACTTGGGAACAATCAAATCAATTGTTACACGGGGCCTTGCGGGTGATACTTCCCTAGTCTCGATCCGGGTTAGGGCGAGCTTGGTTATAAAGTAACCGTGCGATTGTTTAGCTGGAGGTTCAGGTGGAAAAGAGTTATGGATGTAACCGAAGTAAATAACAATCAATTCTATACTAAGATAGAACAACTAAGTATCAATCTGTATAAGAGAGGAACTTATGAGAGTTGACCACAATGAGTGTAATAATGAAATCCAACCCATTCTTATACCCATTGCCTTTGGTCCTGACATCTGGCTAAGCCCCTGGCATCCTAGATGTCGATGGCATCTCCAGATGCCCTGACATCTCTCGACGACCTGGCACCTCTAGATGTCCGGTCTTGGCGAGATGCCAGTCACGTGATCTGCGCCCCGCGTTGATCATTACCTTCTGACGTGTTCGCTGGTTGGCCTTCAACCACGACTCCTACGTTAAGGAGAGAATCCTTCTTGTTACTTGTAACATCAATCAATCAATCAGATTGATCACGGACTGCATCATGGTCCGTGACACCGTGCACATACCCCTATGTGATCCGCAATCAATCTGATTGATTGATTGATTCGATTGTTCCTGTAAAGGGCTGCGCCCGTGATCTCTACTAAGAAGATCACGTGGTCTACGACCACGTGATATACCTTCCGTACGGACACGTGATCAGAAGCGAGCAGGTATAAGACGAGTCTATACTTAGTTATCTCTCTTTTCCTCATCTTTTAGCTTCTGTACGATAGGTAGAAGCATACTCGTTCGCTAGGCCTCTCCGCCCATAACAGTTCCCAAGTCTGATCATTGCCTAATCGAGTAAATAAGGCCCAAAAATCGCTATAATGATAATACGGCAAATTTCCGCCATACCACTGCTTGGCGTAATAATTTCCCATCTACCACCGTTTCAAATACACTACCACACACGTGACGTCAGCTTGTAAAATATCCCAAATACCACTATTTCTATCCCACATGCCACCATATTATTAGTAGGCTTCGCACCTTCCCTAGACTCTTTAAGGCAGTAGGCAAAGCAGTTTTACACAAGAGTATGTATAACGTCGTTATTCTTGGTGTTAGGTGGTAGGGCTTCCTATTATCCGCGTCAGACTTAGCGCCCGGCCAAAACCATAACGGTTCATAACGCGTCTGACGCGATTAAAGAGTCGACGCGTTCTGACGCGAGGTTAACACAAAATCTAGCGACAATTGACTACGATGGCATCCTCTAGGGATTTACCTAGTACTCTATTTATCGGACAGATATTCGCGTCAATCGATGAAGCAAAAGAGTCGGTTCTTCACGTTATGGTAACCCAGAGACTTTCATTCAAAGTAGCTGCCAGCGATCGGACGAGATTCCACGCTATCTGCCGCTCGAGCGAGGAAACTGGATGCAAATTCTTCCTCCGGATCGCTTATATGAATCGATCCGATCAATTTGAGCTTCGGAAATTGGTCCCTCACACCTGCGATCTTAGCTCCCATCAGGATTGGAAAGCATCAAGATCCACAAAGCTCATTGCCCACAGACAGGGAGATATGGTTAAGAGCGACTTTCGGACGAGGCCACGCCAGATTCAGACTGCTGAAAGGCTTCAGCATTCAAATCAGATATCGTACCTACAAGCGTGGCGCGCAAAGAAGGAGATCCAAAAGAGTGCTTTTATGGACAAGACGAAGTCCTTCTAGCTCATCCTTCCATTCCTTTAGACAATTACGGATAGAGGGCTTGATATAGATATAGAACTAAACGACGAAGGAAACTATGCTACTTCGAGGGCGAACGCTGCTATCTCGACGAATGATGATGGATCCTTTGAATGGTGCTATGTAGCACCGAGGGCTTGTATTCATGCATTTTGGCACTCCCGACAGTTTATCTGTGTTGATGGTGCCCATATGAAGTTAGAAAAGAACCTAGTTCTTCTTATTCTTACAACACTTGACGCTAACGAGGAAATCCTACTATTAATGTGGGGATTCGCCAGAAACGAGTCTAAAGAATCGTGGCTTAGCTTTCTACAAGGTTTTAGACAATACTTTCTGGACAACCTTGATACTACCGAAAAAGAACGAGACAATTTTGAGCATCTTACAATCGTCAGCGATCGAGCAAAAGGTCTAGTTCCAGCTGTTGGAGAGGTTTTACCAAAGGCTTTCCACTATCACTGCACGCAACATCTTGCCGAGAATGTTGGAAACGAATTTGGAAAAAAGGTTGAAAAGATATTTAGAGCTACTTGTCTAGTCGAGACTAAGGCTAAATTTAAAGCCTCTTTGGATCAGATTGAGTCTCTTTCTGCTCCTGCGCGTTACTACCTGGATCAACTCGATGCAAAGCACTACGCAACATCACATGCACCACTAGTCGATTTCCCACGGTTTGGTCAAACTTGTTCGAACATTTCTGAATCGATAAATAGCGCATGGATGGTAAGGGAATCTACAAGAAAGCCTATTATTCTATTCCAACTAAGACCAAGCCATAGGAAGCCCGTGAATTACCAATTCTCCATTCACTCCATCATATATGGACATATATGATGTCGAAATTTTACGAAAGACGTTATAACCCCCAGAAAGACGAGATGTATACCAACTATGCTATAGCATATTTCCGGAAAGAGCTTGAGGAAAGTAACCAGTACCTTGTGACTCCTCAAGAGCGCGAGAATATGGTAGCTCTGGCATACCGAGCAAACCCAGGGGACCAGAACACTCGTCTCGTTCAGCTCAAAGCTCGGAGATGTACCTGTCTCGCTTTCCAGGATCACAAAATTCCTTGTAGACATGCGATTGCTGTTTGTCGGTTCTTTAATACTAAACCAGAGAAGTATATTGCCAAGTTCTACGAGATATCTGAGTACCGTGAGCAGTATAAATACTCTCTATTACCAGTTTTACTAGACGATCTCGAACCTGATGGAGTGACAAAGCCACCTCCTTATGCTCCCTCGCGAGGTCGCCCGGCCCAGAAAAGAATGAAACGAAGGACACGGGAGACAGAGGCCCGGAGACTTGGCAATCTAGCATCATCAAACGTTCGGAAGGGGCAACAGGACGAGGCTCGAAACCGGTATCAATCAGGCGGAATATATTTCCAACAACGCCCGGATGCGTCAAATTGTCCTATTCAGATTACACCTATCCAGCCCTGTCCCGAACAGACTATATCAAATCAAGAGGCATCATCTCAACTTACTAATCAAACCGTGTCTGCCCTATCTTTCCTCTCCCAACCTCTAGACTCAAGAGAGCACGGTACCTTGTGGCAACGGATCAGAGCTATACAAACATCCCTTAAAGAAATCGAGGCAATAAGAGAGCGCCACCAGACTCAGCGAATTGGAGCTGCTAGGCAAGCAGCGAAAGAGAACCGAAACAACGACGACGGTCAACCTCATATAGCACAAACATCTACAGCGGAAGCAGAACATTCAACCTTGCAGCCCACATCTCCTAAACCGCCAGTCTTTCAGCCAGTTATAGATCAGCAGCTACAGCTAGACGATGAACAGCAAAGTAGCAGCGGCTCTCAAGTAGATCTACCCGCTTTACAAGTCACTTATATGGATTCTACTATTACGAACGATACCTTTCCAATCGCGACATTGAGCTCTGCTTCACATATCACTATCAATGTCACATCAAGTCCACCCAGTAGAGATAAAAGACCTATAGCGAGTGAAGAGAGTAATGTCCAAAGCGAAGAGCCTCCGGCCCTATCAACGCGATCAAGAAAAAGAGCTAGAATAGGCTAATTATAAGACTGTAGATAGATTTGGATCTACTATAAATTACAATTTTTAGCCTTTCTCCTTATATAAAACTACTAGTTACTGCCTTTATTATTATTATTATTATTATTATTCCATTAGAGTCTATCTGCAGTCAGTGACTATGTAAGACTTTGGCCAGAGGCCGTTCTAGGTACAATTTGTTTAAAGTGAGAGTGTTCTCTGTATAGTACTGCTATTGTGCTGCGGTTTAGTCGCTTCTAGCTGCGCTTAAAGCAGACTCCAGTTGCTGAAGAGCAGTTTAGTAAACAGGAAGAGATGTTAGACAGCAGGGCTGTCTTCCAGCGAGCTCTTTTAGGGCTAAGGAAAGTAACTTAAGAAAGTTTGTTAGTTATTATTGGTTTTAGGTAGTGTCTCTCTGTTCTCGTCTTATTTTT